TTCAAGAATTCATGCTTAAAATATGCTGCAGGAGCAACTGAAGCCATGTACCTCTTCATTTCTGTCTGGTAGGAAAGAGAGACCCTAACTTTCAAGCATGGGGAAATAAATTTTCCCATCAGCTTCCTTGAGACAAATTAGAATAAATGTCATTCCTTGACCAATATTAGTTGCCAAGGTAATGCCATGTGTTCATTGGATAGGACTAATCAGTGTCCGTCTCTGCAGCCAAGGAGAATAATAATAAACGGTAAGCCATGCTGAAAAGGAGGAAGGGAGAAATACTAGGAGGAAGACCAGCAGAGTAAATGGCACAGAACTTTTCAGGAAGTCTCACCAGAGGACATCTATTAGCAGTCCTCTGGTGCTATAGATGTATACATGAAAAAAAAAAACAGTCATTCTGTTTGTTAAACATTTATTTTTGGGAAACAGGATAAAAGGAGAGCATGTAAATAAAGGGATAATGCCTATGAGCAGCCCTGACTTCGATGCCCTTAGAATGGAATTGCACATTGAAGAGAAAAGTAAAGTAGAGGCATCCCATTCTTCTGAAGAAAGCTTCCCCATCCCTCCCCCTAGTCAGGTGACACTGTGAATCAGGTTCTACAGCCTGTGAAATAAAGGCTGTAGAATGAACGCCAAAATTTAACACAGCTCTTTTCTGTTTTCTCATGTTTTATTCTTCATATTAATTTAGTATCCATCTCTCTGATTATCATCTACAGATATGAGAGAACTGAAAGTCACGATGCTTCTCTCTGTAATTGCTTACAGATACGTACGTCTACCACTAAAAGGAGAGATACCATTTCACAGAGGAAACAATCCACATCTCTTCTGTGCTCTCCCCTGCACCCAGGCTTTCAGCATGAGGGACTACTTGGGCATAATTAGCCTTCCATTGACTTCCAGAAAATGTAGTCCTCAGAATAGAAATCTTTATGAAGATATAATTGTAGGTAATTTGCCTGTTACTGTTTCATAATATAGTTATTTCAGAAGAAATTACTTTTTTAGAAGTTAGAATTCTTTAAGGTAGGCTGGTAGTCAATGAGGAATTCTTTGAAGTTTGAAAGTTTTGTGCTTTGATGTGTCTCGTATTAAAATCAGGAGATTCTGCCATCACTACCACAGATTAGTAATTATTTTAGCCATTTGTACTATTTCCAAAGGCCTTCTGGTATATGAGGTATGAGTTCATAAGTTAAGCTTTTAGAAGTTGCGTGTTATTCTGGTTGGCAAAGCATCTACTGACAGAATGAGGGATATTTTATGAACGCATTGTATTTGGAGAAATGGTAAAGAAAATCACAGGCCTCTGATTTCCTACAAATGTGTAATGCAGACTGTACTTAATAAATAAATTCTGCCCAGTTAGCGCAACCACCATTGAATTTTGCTCTAATGCCAGATAGATGACCTTCAATCACACTTGTCTATTTTCAGTTGATACAGTGAGCTTAGATTTCTTTCTTAAAGAACTGGGCACACATGGTAAAGTATAAACTTTTACTCATTTAATGAAGAAAAAAAACTCAGTCTGTCAAATAAGCACTCAAACTCATATGCCTGATGATGTCTTTTGTAACCTAAGGGGAGGAAGGTTATCACTAGTTGGTATATTATGTCACTTATTGAAAATTGTTGTTGCTGTTGTCTTAGTACCCACAGACCCCAAATTTCTACTGTTTTATGACATATATCACAGAGATCAAGACCCTTGATAGGCCATAAGTAGCACTGAGAATTTCCAAGGGTTATTGTTCCAGGTTTTGTTACATCCCAGGGAAAAACTGTACAAGCAAGTTAAATTTCCAGAACAGCAGCTTGCAGAGTTGGGGACTTACATTTGTCTCTCTAACAGTATCACCCTCAAATACACTGTATGACTTCTGTGGTTTATTTTCTCCTAACATCTGGAATGTTAGGATTTTTGTGTTTTTTTTTTCCCCTCCTACTACTGTATTTGTCATAGATTTCAATTATATTGGGAGGTGGGTTTCAAGTTAATTTGATAATTTGAAAAGAAACTTTGGAGGCAATTTTTAAAAAATGTTAATATATGTTTAACATTTTATTATATAACTAATTTTTAATGAGAAAAACAAGGAAGATGTTACAATCAATTCAAAGGAGAAGTAAAAGCAGCACACATTTACATGGAATACAGAACATTGAAACAAATGTGTAAGTACACACAAAATTGGCTTTTGCCTTGGGATGGGGACAGAGAAGTCAACTGGATGTTGTAAATATATTGGCAGAATTTTATCTGTTTGTCTATAGACAATACTGTAAATTAGTTACAAGTTACAGAGTCATAAAATTGTTCAAAGGTAATGAAAGAGGACAGATTAGATAACTTAGAAGGGTTTGTTCTAAAAAAAAAAAAAAAAAACCTAACTTTCCATTGGAAATACCACTCATTAGTTTGCTTATTACCAGTTTTGTACAGTCTTCCTCCTTTGAAACAAAAATAATCTTTTTTAAAAAAAAAAGGTTACTTGTGGTCATAAAATAAGACTGGTCTCAGGCCTACCTAATTTATCTATATAGGTGGAAGAAGGACTCATTTACTACACAGGATAGCTTAAGTTTGCTTTGCTGGAAGTTTTCATGAGGATTCTCAGACTGGATTTTTAAAGGCTCTGTCATATGCTATCCAAAGGCCAGGAGGCAAAGCCCAAGAAATTCTATGTTTTCCCTGACATTATCTATGAATTTGGGCAAGTTTCTCCCTTCTCAAGGTTCCCAAATTACCTCAACACTCTTGGTCTGCTAGAAAATGACATTCATTACCCATAATGCTCAGACCCTGTAAAACCAGACACTCAGTTTTCTTGCAAAGGCTTCCTAAAAGTCCATCTTACTTCCTTACATGTGGCTTAGTATATCTGATAAAAGAACATCGTTCTCAAATATGATATACCAGGCAAGGCTTTGGAGGCACACCAATATTTCATATTATGTTCTGGTAGAAAAGGAAGACAGATTCATTGAAGCCATGCAAATAAATACATCGTCATGTAAAGTAAAACATACCTTCAATAAAACTTTCTGAATTGAAGGTAGGAGAGTCCTGAAAAAGTAGAAATAAGACATCCTTTGCAAATGTTTCGTTTCAATTTACAAAAACAGAGCCTACCAAATTGTTATGAGTTATCAGAAGCTTAAGAAAATAGAGAAGTGCTTCCTTATCTAATCAAAACAGGATATTAGGCTAACATCAACAATATTGCAAACAAATAATGCAATAACATTTCTTTCATTAGTTCATTCAGTCCTCGGTAATTAATTCTTGCTCCACTGGCCTTTTGGGTAGCAGTATCATGGAGCATACTTTTGATTAAAAAGCAATCTGAAAATTTGGTATAGTCTGAAAAATTGCCCAAATGATGCCAAGTCTGATTCAATCCTTTGCCTCAGGGCCCTGAGAGCTGATTGCTGAGCTTTCAGGGAAGAGTCACAGAAAAACAAAAGCTACCTGTAGATGACAGATACCCAAAAAGGCTGTGGTTATTTTATTATTGGCAATTTGCAAATGTGGAAGGTCTAATGAGAGTTCGTATCAACAGTAATAGGGTTGACAAGGAAATCTGGTTGTTTCTGTGGAATGCAAAACAAGATAAAGGCAATCATAAAATGTCTCTAAGAATAACAATTAAGGCTATTTTCAAAGAAGACAGGGAATGCTATATATGATTTATATAAATAATGAACATAATTTTCACAGCAGAGAAAAATCTTATATATAGCATATAATAATCCTGAGACATAATATACCTACCATACCAAGAATATAGCAAGAATGTCAAGTAAAGAAATTACATAAGTCTGCAGTAGATTCTAGATAACTGCAATTTTATAAAACTCCATGGGTAACATTGATGTGCCTCCCCAGTTGAAGTCTATTGGCCTAAAACATGCTAGCCTTAAATTTAAAAAGTAAGGTTGTGGCCAAGTAAGCATTTTAATAATAACTAAAACTATGTATATAGCACTGTATGAGACATCAGCAAAATGTTTCTGTAAAAGGCCAATTTGTAAATGTTTTAGGCTTATGAGGTATAACATCTCCATCACAGCTACTGAACTTTGCTGTTGTAGTGTGAAAGCAGCCATAGATAATATGCAAATCTATGGGCTTTCCTGTGTTCCAATAAAACTTTATAGAAACTGGCGATGGTCCATGTTGACTGGTGGCTGAGCTATACTGTTGTTGTCTCAGTCATCAGAGAAAGCATAACCAAGACTTCGACAAATAAAAACACATCACGCACAGCGAAGACAGTGACAGATCTCTTAGAACTTCCTGTAAGGAATATAATTTCTGAATATTTACATTAATAATATTCTATGTAAATTTTATCTAGGGAAGGCAGAGCAACTCTTCTAATTTGACTTTTACCATACAACTCATAGAAGTAATAGAGAAAATGAAGCAGATTACTTCTAGCTCCTTTTTAAAAAAAGACTAAAGAACAAATCTCTGATTTTCTAGGAAACCTCTAAGAAATTTCAAAGATAGTTTTATATGTAAAAGATGTCCTGATACCTTTTTTTAAAAAAAATATACATTAAAAATCTGATTGGAGGAAGGCAAAATTAAGGAAAAAATCAGAGGTGGGTGATTTGGACAGTTAAGTATGACAGTAAAACACACAAGTAAGCATAGAAAATCATACAATTATAGAAAACCTTAACTGTTTCATAACTGAGGAATGTTTCCTTATTTTGTTTTTCTTTTTGGGGGGACAAGGTCTCACCTTCTCACCCAGGCTGGAGTGCAGTGGTGCAATCTCAGTTCACTGCAACCTCTGTCTCCTGAGTTCAAGCGATTCTCCTGCCTCAGCCTCCTGTGTAGCTGGGATCACCTGGGTGATCCACTAGCCTTGGCCTCCTAAAGTGCTGGGATTACAGGCATGAACCACTTGATCAGGCCTTGTTTTCTTAATAATCAAGGGCATAATGATGTCAAGGTAAAGCACAGAAATCACTCTGCTGAGAACAGAATCTTCATTATCTAGACAGATTACACACAACAAAAATGTTAACACTTTATATTGCACATGAAGTATTACTAAACAAAGAAAATAAACTCATCAAAATTGAGATAGCTTTGCTCAGATTTTAACAGGTTTTATAGATTTCCAGATTCAGGTATTATAAAATCCAAGGGAAATAAGTTCTACTTTCCAATTGTATCTGTGGTTCCTCTCTTTCATATTCTGGAACAAACTGACATTTGATTTTAGGACAGATCTCAGGAGGTCCATGAGACCAGAACTAACTTTATCCTATTACCGAGATGTTATTAATATGCAATGCTTTTATCTTTGCTACCTTCCCTTGCGTCATTATAAAAGCATTGTAATAGTGGTTCTGTTTCAGTTTCCAACAGTGAGTACTGATATTTACAACATAGAAGTAAAACCTCTTTGGAGTCTTCAACAAGTTTTGAGAGTAAGGTATGTGAAAAGTATAAAGTGGTTTAAGAGTGTTAAGAAGACCAAAACAAAACAGAAGCAAAAAAAAAATACTGATTAATGTTATCTTAGGACAAAACTACTCTTTGCCTTGGAAAAAACACAAATATTTATAGTTTCATTATTTTTTTGTGTGTGAAACTTGTGTTCCGAAGACTAGTCTCAACCACTTACATAAATTTTATCTTGTATCCAAAGTAAATAGCCACTGCTGCACAGAGAAAATTGAGGGGTGACTGATTGAGGATGGCCTCTCATGCATGATCATTTCAGTAGACTCACAGAGCTTATGAGCACTTAACTTTTCTTTTAGGTTTAGGGGTATATGTGAAGCTTTCTTTTTTTTTTTTACATAAACAAGTTATCATAGGGGTTTGCTGTACATTTTATTTCATTGCTCAGGAAATAAGCTTAGTACCCAGTAGTTACTTTTTCTGTTCCTCTCTCTCCTGTCACCCTCCCAAGTAGACCCCAGTGTCTGTTGTTTCCTTTTTGTGTTCATAAGTTCTTCTTATTTCGCTTCCACTTAAAAGTGAGAACACACAATATTTTGTTTTCTGTTTCTGCATTAGTTTGCTAAGGATAATAGCCTCCAGCTCTATCCATGTTCTGGCTAAAAATATGATCTCATTCGTTTTATGGTTGCATAGTATTCTATGATGTGTATGTACCACGTTTTCTTTATCCACTCTGTCACAGACGGGCATTTAGGTTGATTCCATGTGTTTGCTTTTATGAATAGTGCTGCAATGAATGTTCATGTGCATGTGTATTTATGGTAAAATGATTTATATTCCTCCATGTATATGCCCAGTAATAGGATTGCTAGGTCAAATAGTAAATCTGCTTTTAGCTTCTTGAGGAATCCCTTTCCACAAAAGCAAACTGATTTACACTCCCACCAACGGTGTATAAGGATTCCCTTTTTTCTGCAACCTTGCCAGCATCTGTTATTTTTTGACTTTTTAATAATAGCCATTCTGACTGGTGTGAGATGATATCTCATTGAGGTTTTGATTTGCATTTCTCCAACAATCAGTGATATTGAGTTTTTTATCATATACTTGTTGGTTGTTTTTAGGTCTTCTTTTGAGAAGTGTCTGTCCTTGTCCTTTACCCATTTCTTTTTTTTTTTTTTTTTTTTTGAGATGCAGTTTTGCTCTTGTTGCCCAGGTTGGAATGCAATGGCGCAATCTCAGCTCACCACAACGTCTGCCTCCTGGGTTCAGGTGATTCTCCTGCCTCAGCCGCCTGAGTAGCTGGGATTACAGGCATGTGCCACCGGCTATTTTTGTATTTTTAGTAGAGACAGGGTTTCTCCATGTTGGTCAGGCTGGTGTCAAACTCCCAACCTCAGGTGATCTACCCGTCTTACCTTCCCAAAGTGCTGAGATTAAAGGGATGAGCCACTGCAACTGGCCCCTTTGCCTACTTTGTATTGGGATTGTTTTTCTCTTGTAAATTTAGTTTCTTATAGGAGCTGGATATTACACTTTTGTCAGATGCTTAGTTTGTAAATATTTTCATTCATTTTGTAGGTTTTCTGTTTACTCTGTTGATAGTTTATTTTACTGTGCAGAAGCTTTTAAGTTTAATAAGAACCCAGTTGTCCGTTTTTGCTTTTGTTCTGATTGCCTATAGTGTCTTCATCATGAAATCTTTGCCAGTTCCTAAGTCCAGGATGGCATTGCCTAGGTTGTCTTACAGGGTTTTATTTATTGATTATATATTTTGAGATTTTACATTGAAGTCATTAATCCATCTTGAGTTGATTTTTGTATATAATGTAAGGAAGGGGTCCAGCTTCAATCTTCTGCATATGGCATCTTTTCCCCATTCCTTGTTTTTGTCAGTTTTGTCAAATATTAGATGGTCATACAGTTGCAGCCTTATTTCTGGGCTTTCTATTCTGTTTCATTGGTCTACCTACTTGTTTTGTACCAGTATCAGTATTTGGTTACTGTAGCATTTTATACACTTAACTTTCTACTGCTATATGCATCCCTCATACAACTCAAAGTGGCAAGAAAGAACACATTTATTTACAGGGACCAAAGATAGAGCCTCTAAATGTGGAACAAAAGAAGTTAATAATTCACTGTTCTTAGAAATGATGTAGACATCCAAAACTATAGAGAAGCAGGGAAGTCATATTTTAGATCATGCGAAAAGTGGGGTCCATAAATGCAATTTAATGCTGGGAGAAATAACAGCACATCATTAGTATATAGATGGGGATAATCCAGTAGAGAGGAAGAAATGTTGCTTCAGGGTGGACTTGGGGATTGCTGGAATGATATTCTTGAATAAGGCACAGTAGAGAAGCTCTAGACCACAAGTGGAACTTGAAGAGCTTATGGAACTGAACATGAGCAGCTCCTTCACATTAGCAGAAGGAAAAACAGAGCAGGCATAGGTGTGGGTAGGTGGGGTTAGAAGCTGGTGGAAAAAATTCTGTTCTGTGAAGCATAAACACAGTGAATCAAAGCAGGGAAGGAGATGCTCAGCTTTTGAGGAGAGGGGCCAATGGATGAAATTGCCTAGAGAATAAAAGCATACAGGACTAGAAATATAGTATGATCATGGAGTGACACCGGAAAGAATTAAGTTCTGGATGTAGCCATCCAATTCATAGCTGGGTATTTATGACAAATAGATGCCCAAGCTTTTGATGCTGGTTCTTGGTTGGCGTGGTTTTACTTAAATAGACCTGAGTGCCTTCGTATGCTTGATATTTGTTTATGTTTCAATTTTCTTTCTTCCATTTTGGAAAGAGCGTGTCATTCAACAAGTACTTTTGAGCATCTGTCTATTGAAGGTAAGGCACTTGGAAGGATTCCTGGTTAACTGTCTAGGACTAAAAGGTGCTTAAAATTTAAGTCTAAAGCAGTGTGGGACTTTACTCCCTAGTGATGGCAGTTATCTCTTAGAATCATTTCTTTAAAGAATTGGCCATAATAGAGATGCTTTTTAAATTAATTGGACCCCCCCAACACCAGTTAACATGATAGCTCATTACCAAGCATTGCCAGAAGCTCTGTTTGTTGTCATTGGTTCCAGTCTAGTTAAACAAAGTATTTACTCTGTTGATGAAACAATCAGATAGGATTTTTTCATTGCTGCAGTATCATAAGGTATTTTCATTTATGTTCTCATTTCTATTAAAATATATAGTTATGGCCCTGAATTCACTACTTAGAATTAAATGACCTACTATGTAATTGGAGGGAAATTTTAGTTTTCCATGGATAACTCACCTAACCACACCAGGACAAACATCAGCTATTGCAAAATGGATTAGGTGTGAGGTATATCCAAAAGAAGCATCTCATGATTTTGTTTCTTATGTTCATGATTCCGGACATTATTTCCAGATTTTAGGCTTCCATGGCCTCCTGATAATCTCCCAGGCCAGATGTTCTTAGAGGTGAAAGATATTCTTTTCAGGTTTCCCTATAGTCATCACACTGCATTGGAGTGAAAAGTTACAGCCACCCGGATATGGCTGGCTCAAACATTACTTTGGCCATCCTGAGCTGACCAGCTGAAAAATAAGAACAAATAACCACAAAAAGATAGTTAATGTATAATAATTTTTTTTGGTTCTCTAGGCATAGCTGAGCCAATGGTATTCTGTCTGTCCTTAAATATGTAAATAGTATTTATATGCAAAGTGATGCTAGAGAATATGTAGAAAGGCCTTGTGTCTTACCTCATGGATCACACCCAATTTAATTCTAATGTTGATGAGTTCAAATCTTGTGCACATTAGTTAAGTTTGCTGAGCTTCATATTCCTCACCTGTTAAGGGGAGATGCTAATAGTACTTATCTTCTTGGATTACTGTAATAGATTTGAGGAATCCATACCCCTAAATGCCCTGGAATAATGCCTGGGCAATAGTGAGTGCCGATAATCATTATATCAAACTGTTGCCTTATTAAATCAAGGGGCCTATAATTTGGTAGAGGAATAAACTATGTGTAGTGAGAAGGAATATAGGGAAAAAAACATGGGGCTGCAGAAGACTCCTTATGAAACAAACAATGACCTTGGATCAAGTGCTTCCTCCAAGGTATCTGCCATCCCTCTGTTCTCCGTGTATCCACTGTTCCCACCTATCATCGTTGTGCCTAGTAATCAACCAAGAAGATATAGATGACAGAGACCAGAGAGAAATGGGGACAATTGGCATAGACTTACTAGAGCTGAAAGGGGCCTTTGTGATTATTGAGGTCAAGCTTCCCAATAACTGGATAAGGAAACTGGAGCCCAACTAGAATAGCTCTGTTCTTCCTCATAAAAGTTGCCCCATGGATTGAAAGCATTAGCATCAACTGAGAGCATTGTAAACATGCAGACTCTCAAGCCCTAACCAGAACTACCAGATCATAATCTGTGTATTAGCAAGATTCCCCAGGTGATCTATGTATGCCCATTAAAGGTTGAAATGCACAGCTTCATATTGCAGAGCAAAATCTGAAGAAATCAAGAGATGTGAAACACTGAAGTCAATTTATAGCATGAGAATACAAAATCATACATGTTTTTAAGAATCTATGAACCACTCTGTAAAAATTCACAATTCTCATGAAGAGTATTATTGGAAAAGCTATGGTCCTAAAACCAATAGCCCAGAATTTTGGTCCTGACTTTTGTTATCTTGAGGTCCTCTGTCCTCTCAGACATCTCATCTATTTTTATGGTTTTACTAGATGCCTTCTCACACCCTTCTGAAGTCTTGAGTAGTAATTCTGTTGTCATGGTATTAATAATACAGCATGGTAGAATGGCTAGAAAGTAGCCCAGCAGTTAGGAGCATGGATGCCAGAGCCAGATTCCAAAGGCAACAATATCAGCTTGTCACTATGGGGTTATGTGCCCTTAGGTTTCTTTAACCTTTCTGTGTCTCATCTATAAGATAGGTATGACAACAGTAGTAACTACTTCCGGCAGTTTATTTTCAGAATTAAATTGATATATCATAAAGTGCCTAAAACCACTGGACAACATGCATTTCCTATGCCAGGCCCTGGACTAAGTTGTGTAGAAGTCAAAGATGAGTCCCTGCCTTTGAGGAAGAAACTCTGAGCTGAACATGCTAGGAACAAATGGCATAAGCGTACATCTGGATTTATAGTGCACAGCCATGTTCAGGAGGATCAGGAAAATAGTAACCTCTAACTCATGGAGGAAATGGGACATACTTCACTCGGAGAAGGTAAGGAAGCTGAAAAGACATAATAGCTGCCTTCAAACAAACAGTGGGATGGCATGACGTTAAGGCTCAGACTTCTCCATGTGGCATCAGAGGGAAGAATTAGCATGAAGGGTAGAAGGGATTTTGGAAGGATAACGTAAATATTTGGGAAATGGCCATCCAGATTTGTTAATATCAGAGAAGAATTAGATTTAGAGAAGAAAAAGTAATTTGGGCACCAAGGAAGAATTCTTGAAGACAGCTTCAGTAAAACAGCATGGATTTGAATTAATTTGTAAAGGGGACAAATTAGATTCAGTGAAAGATCCATTGCTTATCTTTAAAGAAGCAGGATTTCATTTCTTTCAATTCTGCAGAGTAACTTGAACCAATTACTCTTACAGAGTAAACTAATAAACTGCTTTAATGAGCAAATAATGTAAACAAATAAGTATCAGCAATATGAATATATAACATTTCTAAGTCTTTTTTTTTAACATATTTATGTTATGTAAAGACATTAAAAACTATCTCCGAACATATTTTTACCCTTTGAGTTTTCCTGGGAAACACTTTTCATAAGCCAACTTAAATTCTACTTGTTTCACTTAGTCTCCATGGACATGAATTTACGGTCAGTGGCTACCAGTTTAGTAAGGTTTGCTTAGATAATAAACATATAAATAGTAAAAGTATTTGGTTTATCAATAAGAGATTTCTCTCCATTGCTGTTCTCAAACTGCTAGATAGGATTGAGTCTATGCATTCAAATTTCCAGCCCTAATGTACATATGTCATGCATATTTCAACAAGATTCAATTATAGCTGACAAAGCATTTGTAAAGGCAGCTAGATTCTAGCCCAGATGGTGGCTGGGCTTTTGATGAACACTCCAAATATGTGGCATTATTCATCCCTGACACTCAGAAAATAAACATAAAGCACCACTTCTCCCAGGGCAGGGAAGTGGAGAAGAAAATGATCACATCTCCCCAATGTATAGAGTTGTTTTCCCCTGGAAGTTTCAGAATGTTTACATTTTGCTTTAAGGACATCTCTGGACATTCTCCTGAACATATATGACGCCTTCCTGGGGAAGTTAGATGATCTGGGCCTTAATTCCCTCTCCAAGGCCCCTTTCAGATGAGCATCTTAGGATAGCATTTTCTGAACTATTTCTGAAGATACTAAGTCCCAGTTTCTGACATGAAGACCTCATGTTGCAGCATTTTGACTGATATATATACTGTCTTTTAAGTCCTGGTATAGGGAAACTCTCTGGGAAAATACTTTTCGAACAAGTTTTGATACCACTGTTGTTTAACTTGTATAAAATCGACTCAACCATACAGGCAGTCATTGGCTTTTTTAAAAATAAAAATGTCAACTGGGCACAGTGGTAATAATGCTAGTACTTTAGGAGGCCAAGGTGGGCTGATCACCTGAGGTCAGGAGTTCAAGACTGGCCTGACCAACATGGTGAAACCCCTTCTCTGCTAGAAAATATGAAAATTAGCCAAGCACGGTGGTATATACCTGTAATCCCAGATACTTAGGAGGCTGCGGCTAGAGAATTGTTTGAATCTGGGAGGCAGAGGTTGCAGTGAGCAGAGATTATGCCACTACACTCTAGCTTGGGTGACAGAGGGAGACTCTGTCTCCAAATAAATAGCACATTGCTAATATCACAGATGTGCCCTTTCCCCCCACATCCAGTCACCATCCCTCAGTAGTTTGGAGAAGAATGCACTGGCAAGGAAGAACCCAGAATCTTCCATCATGGCCCATTCCACAAATGGATTTATAGGAAATGGCCAAGTTCAAGAATAATATCTTTTTCTAGTGCTTTCTTTTCAACTATGTTCTTATGCTTAAAACATAGTTGGGTTTTATTATAGTCTAGCCAGAAAACTTAATATTTTACTTTGATTTTCAGTTTATTATTCTTGATCAATCCAACAGAAAGCAAGATAGAAACATTCAACAAATATATCATCTGTTCATTTTTCTCTTCTACATTAACTTGTTAGACACACTTGTTAGTTACTCGGAAAATTATAATTTTCAAGAATTCTTGAATTCTAATAAAAATAATTACTTTCATCCATTTTCTGATAATGCTAGCATTTTGGAAGAATAATTTAGTCGACCCCCCTCCTTATTTGTATGTCATTGTGCCATACACTTTAAACCCCAAAGTCAGTATCATTGCAAAATAGATTCCTTTGTATTAACCCACCTATTTATTCTTTCTGACTCTCCATTTCTTCTTGAATCTCTGAGCTGTGATCCGAATTCAGTTTTCATTCTATCTGCATCATACCCTTTGGGCAGTGTTTATTTGGAAATTTAGTTACACTTTAAAGGTGGCATCTTGGGGTCTTTGACTACATTGTTTGTACTGAGAAGTCAGTCAATTTCTTTCTTGAAAGTAATATGTCTTTTTTTATTTGCCTGTTTTTAAAATTTCATCTATTTTATATGTATGCATGTGTATATATGTACATATGCATGAATATGTGTGTATCCTTCCTCCCTTACAGTTTGTAATGCTTTTTAAATCTGTGTGTCACTGTCTTTCATCATTGCTTATTAGGTTTGGTTATTCTCAGCCATTATCTATCTCCATTCCCACTCTCAGTTTCTACTGGGACTCTTAAGTTTAGGTAAATTAAAATGCCTTACTTATTTATCCCTTACAGTTTCACAGATTTCTGGTTTTGCTCATTTTTCTCTTGAGCTCTGTTTTACTCTGCCATTAGAATCTTTACACTAAATTCTGAATTTGTTGCCATTTCTTTTTAATCACATAATCTTGAATACCTGCTGAATACTGTATAACATAGGTTATATGGATAATTTGAGGTAGTAGATAATATTTTTCCTATAGAAGACTGATTTCTGCTTCTGAGTAAGGCTAGTTTTTATGAAGGTGGATATTTTTCTATGTAGTCTTCCTAGCTTATGGCCCTTTGAGGTCTTAAACCAAAGCCTAAATTTTACAAGGTTTTCCAGAATAAGCAGATGGCTCTTAGGGAAAAACAAAATAAAAAGGAGAGGAGGCACTACTCAAAATACCAAGCTTCCCTCTCTCTGATTTTTTTTTTCTAGCTTGGGATCTTTTCCCTGTGATTCCTTTCTGTCTTGTTAACACTTCAATGCCTTTAGAACGTTTTATGTGTGTATGCATGCATATACCATATATATTACATATAAGTATATATAAGTATATAGAACTATATATATGTGTACTTATATATATAGTTCTATATAAGTGTACTTATATAGTTATATATAAGTATATGTATAAAACTATAGTTATATGTTATATATAACTTATATAT